ATTGTGGGAGCCGCTCCCCTCGTCTGTGCTGTGCTCCCCTCCACTGCGCTCCATCTGGGGCGCGCCCGCCGCCGCTCCCTTCGCTGCTGCGGCCGGCTGGTCTTCCCCTCCTCCGGCTCCCAGGGTAAGGCGCAGGGCTGGATGCTGGACGCAGGCTCCCGCCTGACTGCGCGGGGTGCACCGTGGCGGCCGGGGCGCGGTACTTGAGGGCGCAGGGCGGCCGCGCCCGAGCCTTGGGTGGCGGGTGGTGCCCGGAAGACGGGTTGACAGGCGCGGCATGGGCTGTCTGGGCCTCGCACCTGCAGCGCCCGCGGCCGTCACCTGGCGCGCCCGGCGCTAGGAGCCGGGGTTTCCCCTCGGCGGGCGCTGCCGGAGCCAAAGGGAGGCGTGTTCTGCCGGAAAGCCGGCCGGCGAGCCCTCCCGGACCGGGCGAGAGACCTGCGCGAGCGGGCAGGGCTGGTAGGGGATGGCCGCTCCTGGGCCCCAGGTCTCGGTCGCCCGCCCGGGCACACGCTCGGTCCCCGGTAGCGCGTCTGCGTGGCGCGGCCCGGCTCTTTGTCAGCCGCGCAAGGCGAGCGCGCAGACCCACCCTTGTCGCCCCTGGCTCGCGGGCGCGCCCCTCCCCGACCTAGGAATGGGAGAGGTGGCGACGTGGGCGAGGGTCGCAGACGGAGAGCCCCTGGTGAGGTGCCTGTCGCGGACCCAGCCTGCGGCCTTCGGAGGGGGTTGGGGACGTGGGCGCGCGCTCCAGTGAATCGGGATTGATGGAGTGACTCAGGTGCCGAAGGGGTGGGGCGAGAGCCCTGAGGTCAAACAGGTGTTAGTGAGGGTCGAAAGACTGACAGGGCTAGAGCCCAAGAGGGACGACTTCCCAGGGAGGAAGCCTTGGAGGAACCGGCCTTTGTAGTAAAATGGGCGTCTTGGGGAAGGAATGGGCGGTACTGGATGAACCAGGTGGTCTGAGAGGAGGGGCGCTTACCCGAATCCCGGGCAGAGGATTCGGGTGGAAGCACGGCTTCAGTTTCCCCAGGTGGGGACAGTCACTTAAGCACCAGGCCTGCCTATAAGAAATGGGAGATGGGCACTCGAAGGTCGCGGGGGGAGGGGTAAGTGTAAGGATAAAGAGCAAACGTGTGCCAGGACCTGGGTCCTTTCCTTACTGCCTTCTGTGGCTGAATTCCTTCTTGATGTTGCATGGGAAGAGGCCCAAACGCTGCTGCCACAGGAGGTGCCCTGGCAGGGCTGATCTGTCTGCCGGAACCTGCTAGAGGCCTCCTGCACAGTTTGATGTTTCTTTTGTTATCTCTGTGCACTCTGTGCCTGTGGTGGACATGTGCCAGTGGCCCAGGAGGCTGTCTCTGACCATTGCTGCCCTCCGGGTTGACATGCCCAGAATCCAGGAGAAACGCTGCCCAGAAACCTGTAGTATCCAGCCACTTCGGGCCACCCACTGTCCACATCGCTGTGTGCAGGTTTCCCCCTAAGAGAATTGACATTCTCCTTCCTTTCCCAGGATCTTAGAGCTAAAGTGAGAGCTGCTGTCTTATTCAGGATTTGACACCTGCAGAGAGGCTGGTAGCTGTTGGCATGTGCCATCAGGCTCTGAAAAGGCTGTTGGGGGTGGTGGGCCCTGTGGAACAGATGGTTCTGGGGAGAAAGCTTGACCTGGCTGAGGGAAGGCTGCCCAGTCTGACTGGTGGAACCCAGCTGGTCCCAGAATGATTGTGTTTCCATTCAGATCTCTCTACTTGCTAAACTGACCAGAAAATCTGACTTTCTGTACTGCCTCTCCCACTTCTGTGTCATTCCCACCACAGCCCTGGGAATAAGCAAATGAACATTTTATCTATGTGATGCCTGTCATGTGTCATGCAAGGTGCCAGTCAGTATTACATTTGCATTTCACTGTGTTCTAAAATGCCCTCTAAGGTGAAATATTACCCCCATTTTGCAGATGAGGAAAGTGAGTCTCAGGTGAAGTGACTTGCCCCAGATCACACCAATTGTAAGTGACCAAACTAGAACTTCTGCTTAGGTCTGTCTTACTTCAAGTTTAGCTTTTTCTAGTATATCTGCCAGAGACAGAAGGGGAGAAATCTCACTCGCGCTTTTACTGCATGCCTGCCATTAAGATCATACTTTGGTTTTTTGCAAATACTTCCCATCTGTTGCCCTATTTTATCCTTATACCACTCCTTGGAAGTAAATAGAACAGGGATGTAATAATAGCTGCTGTTTATTTAGTGCTTTTGGGACACCAGGCAGTGTTAAGTGCTTCACATGGAGGGTCTCACCTATTCCTTGCAGACACCCTGTGAGGTTAGGTGCCACCATCGTCCATTTTGTAGGATTTGTGGAGGAAGGTGGAGCTCAACAAAGCTAAGTGGCTTCCCCAGGGTCATACAGCTAGTAAGTGGTGGGGTAGAATTCTCACAGAATTTTGTGAGACAAATGTACCTAATAAAGGTTACTAGTAATAACAACTAACTTCTACATAGTGTTTTAAGATTTTCAGACATAGTCACATGTGATTTCCCCCAAACTCTGTGAATTAGTTTTACCATATATCATCACCCCATTTTCCAGATGAAGAAACTGAGGTTCATAGAGGTAAGAGTTAGTGGCAGAACCAGGACTAGAATCTCTGCCTCCCAAGCCCCAGTGTTCCACAGGTGCACCTTTGATCTGTTCACATGCACCCCTCTCTCCTCCAGGTCACCCCTCCCAGGCCCCCGCTGCAGTGCCTGCCTGAGCCATGTCTTCCTCAGATGAAGAAACGCTCAGTGAGCGGTCCTGCCGGAGTGAGCGCTCATGCCGGAGCGAGAGGTCCTACAGAAGTGAGCGGTCAGGGAGCCTGTCTCCCTGTCCCCCTGGGGACACCTTACCCTGGAACCTGCCACTGCATGAACAGAAAAAGAGGAAGAGCCAGGATTCGGTGCTGGACCCTGCCGAGCGTGCTGTGGTCAGAGTTGCTGGTAAGAGAGGCTGCAAGTGAGCTGGGCGCCATGCTGAGGGGAGAGGGTGCCCGGACACTGAGGATGGGGAGCGGAGGGGCCCTCCTCAGGGCTCCCTGACACACCAGCTGGAATCCAATTTGGTGTTAATACTATTGCAAAGATGGTGAATTAACATTAAAGAAAAATTTGAATGAGCAAAATCTGCCGCCCTACTTCCTGGCGAGAGCCCTGTGTTCAGTTTTGCGTCTTCTTCCCTGCCCTCGTCAAACCCAGGCAGTTAGATTTTCATGGGGTTCCCTTCATGGCTTACAACCATTCTGGGTCCGACTTTCTGCACCTGCTCTTATATCAACAAGATTTTCCATGTTGTATCTTTTGCCTTATCGTGACCTTGTTAAAGGCCATGGAATGTTTCATAGTTTGTTAAATCCTGTTCAGTTTTTGCCATCCTAGGAATGTTGCAGTGGACATCTTGAATAGTAACATTTGACTCTTGTGATTTCCTTGCATTCACGTCCTGCCTCAGGCTGGGTGTGCCTTCCTCCTTTCTGCAGTGGGGTGCTCTCCTCTCCTGTGCCAGGCAGCAGTGCAGAGATTTGGAGTCTGGGGAACCCTGCCACCAACCAGCTCTGAGGCTCTGGGTCCATTTCTCTCTCTCTCTCTCTCTCTCTCTCTCTCTCTCTCTCTCTCTCTCTCTCTTTTTTAAAAAGATGTATTTATTTATGCATACAAGACCTGAGGTAAAGGTCAGAGGTGCAGGGGGTGAGAGGATTCACCAGAGACAAATTGGGGAGCAGAACAGGCAGATTGAGTGAAACACACTGTTGAGGGGAGCAGCGGGTGAAACAGGAGAGGTCTGCTGAGTCATGTGGGTCAGCTCCCTAGCCAGGAATCGAACTCATGCCAAAGTGGCTACAGCTACTAGCTTCATAGTGCTGCGGTTTAACCCCCTGCACCACCAGGGGGGGTCCAGGTCCATGTTTTACACTGTTTCAGCCTCACTTTCCTCATTTAAGATTTTTGCCTGTGCAGGACGGCAGGACAGCCTCGAGATAATGAAGGTCTTCAGGAGAGTGGCCAGGAACTTAATCCACCAGCAGGAGCACACAGAACCCCCTGAGGTTTGGGCCCAGGAAAGGGGAGCTTTCTGCAGTTCTCGCTCTGCTGCTTCTGCCTCAGTCTTTTAGAATAGCTGTGGGGGTGAGCTCAGTACCTCAGTAAACATGTGTCAGGGTGCAGATAGAAAGTTAGGTAAAGCAGCACCTGCAGCTGACTCCTCGACACATCATCCACTGTCAATCCATCACCAAGGCCTGTCCTGCCACCTCTTCTGAGTGGCTCAAGAAGTGCTGACCCCTCTAATTTTCATCTCTCACCTGGACCTTCCGATCACCACCGAATGGTCCTCCCCTTTCCAGTCTTACCCCCTTCCCTCCACAAAATTTAGAAATTTGTTCTAAAATGCAGCCCTGATCCTGTTCCTCAGCTGCTGATGAACCTTCTTTGGCTTGTGGAATAAGAGTCTGTCATAAATGCCATCAAAATCAGGCCCTGAACTCCTCTTCAGCTTCACCTTCAACACCCCCACTGCCACCATGAGCCAGCACCCGCCTGCACTTTGACCTCCAGAGATGTGCATCTTTGTAGGAACAGACCGGCCTGCTTTGCCTTTGTTCACTGCAAGGTGCTGGGAACCCCCCTTCCTCTTCTAAGTGCCGCCTCCTCTGTCCCTAATGCCCCCTGTGGTATCCAAAGCTCCCTCCTCCGCTCTCTTATTCATACTTTTCTCTCCTCTGTGTTCCCTTGTACAGTATGGCAGTTATCCCAGGGGTGCCTGTCACTCCCTCAGGACTGTTAGCAATTCGGGGCTGTGTCTTGCTTTCACTTCTACCCCACAGCTGCAAGCACAGGGCCTTGTGCGTGTTGGACACCAAACGGCACTGACGACGAGTGAATGTGAGCAGTGTCAGAGGATATGAGACAGATTGCGATCCAGGAACAGGCTGGGCGGCCGTGGGAAGCCAGACAGAGAGAGGGTGAAGTGGGTTCTAGAAATCAGGAAATGATTTCAGAGGGGTGGGGCTTCCAAGGAGGACTTGGAAGATGGGCTGGAGTTTGAACTGGTAGGCAATAGGGAACCCTGAGCACGGCCTCTTCCTTCTTTCTGCAGACCTTTGGGCCTGTGGCAGCAGCCAGTTAGCAGAGTTCTCAGAGCTGTCCCTGGGATGCGGGAGGGCTTATCTGTCCCTACGTCTGAAGGCCCTGAGCGAGGGGCCTCTGGACTCTCAACCCTGCATCCCCGCCAGGAGCAGAGCAGAGGCTTCCTCCCACTTCCGTGTCTGCTCTGCCCCACCCCCCAGCACACATGCTGCTTCTAGGTTCCTTTCTGATGATTTCCCCTTCCAGTCTTCTCTGAGGAGGCCCCCGGGATGGTTTGCCTGCTGTCTAGCATTGTGAGCCTACAACAGAAGTGGAGTGGACTCAAGGGGCTTAATCGCCAAGCAAAGTCCCCTTGTCCAGTTGTTATGTCCATGGAGCCTGAGGACAGCAGGTGCTGCACTGTGTTTCCGGCCTGACACTGTCAAGTGACTGTCTTGAGGAGGGGGCTGGGTCCTTGAGGGTGAAAATGGGGAGACTGCCATGGTTAAAAATAACTTGTGCACTGCAGCTGGGCGTGTTGCGTTCGCAGGAGAGAAGAGAAGAGGCAGCAAGGCGGGACTGCTGTTTCAGGGCCTGGCTGACAGCTCCCTGTGATTTTAGAATGTGGCGGGGGCATTACCAGAGTAAAGAAAAAAGGCAGCCTCACTTTTGCGGGGACTGCTTCCTGTGAGATATAGGAGGGTGTGTCTGGGAGACCCTGGGTGCTCTGAAATGGTCTGATTTAGAACTTTCATTCTGAGAGGAAATGGAGTCAGTCACGCTGGCGGCCAGCTGTGGCCTGTGCCGTCTCCTCCTCCCTCTGGGTCTGGGTCATGAAGCCCAGTTGGGGGGTGGGAACTGAATCAGTCTCAGCAAATACCTCCCCCTCTCCCAGCTCCATGTGGTTCTGAGCAGATATCAGAGCCCCTCTGCATTGGAGAGGCCTGAATGTGAACGCCTGCTGTGACCTGCATATATCAGAGTGGAGGGGTGTCTTGGGACCCAGAAACCTGCTGACCTCAGGCTACCGTGTCCAAACAGGTTCTGGGGCTCCCCGCGTGCTGTAGTGTAGTTCTTTCCATCCTTCTCCTTTCTCTCTATTCTCTCTCTCTTTTTCGCCAGTCCTATTCCCAATTTCCAAAGCTCAGCCACAGTGAAGTAGAGGAGAGTCAGTACTGAGAATTCTTGCATCGGCCTTGTATTTACATAGAGATTTCATCATAACTGCGTGGTAGTTTGGACAAGTGTTAGGACCTGAGGCCCAGAGTGTTTAAAGGACTTGCTTGTAATCATGCACGGGACTGGTAGACCAGATCATCTCACACCAAGTACATTGCTATTTCCATTTCCTTAGGCAACACCTGACTGCCAGGCTGGCCTTTATCTTCTGCAGGTGACAGTCTAAATAGCCACCTGAGCCACCTGAGCCCTTCTGGCCATTTTGGGGTGAAGCCTCAAAACTCTGACCTCCAGAGAAAGGCAAAGACAAAGATCTAGGGAACTTCACCTCTTCCTCACTGACTCTGTTTGTGGAGAGTAATAGCACAATCATTACTCATTGGTGGGGAATAGCAAGGAAATGAGAGCTGGGGAAGTTACTTCAGCAGCCCCACAGGGTAGAAAAGAGGAGAGAAAGAAGTCTGTACCCCTTGGGGTACACAAGCCCCTCAGGGCTTGTGGTGAGTGGGGGACGGTGAGCCCAGAGGACTGCCATTCACACTGTCATTGTAGATTTGTTTATTTATGAAAAATTTCCTGCAGAGGGCAGTAAAGTATCTGGAAGAAGGGATCACGTTGTACTAGAGGCTGGGCTGGCTGCAGGAGGGACTCATCGTCCACCTGTTGATCAGGTGTCTCGTACGTATTCAGGCCCCTCCGTTTCCTTGACATTGATGTTCAAAGTTGGCAGAAAATGTGACCCCCTTCTTTGTAGAGCTCAGTGTAGTTGAGAAGGGAAAAATTAATTACATTCAGAATGTGCTAGAAAACACACATTAATGTGCCTGTTTCTATACTGCACTGTTAGCAAAAGGGAGGAGCAGGGCTAAGGGGACCCAGGGCTAAAGGTTCTGATGAAATCATCACCCCAAGCTGCTCCAATGTGGTCTCCCCAAAACCTTTCCTGATCTCTCCAGTCAGACAGCAGTTGTATTTCTACCCAGACTTGTTTCTGGTGGCCTTCTATTAAAGTTCATTGCTCCAGGAACATTCCCGCTGCCAGATCTGTAGTCAGGGGTCCTGTCCTACCCTTCCCGGTGTTGTCCAAGGTCTCACTCTGTGAGCACAGCTCGAGAACCTGGCGACTCAAGGAGGGCTGTGAAATGCAGCTGGGATGCTGGTGTGACTCCTGCCTCAGGCTGAAGCACAGCTGCTGGCCTCACTCAAGGCCATGCCCTGGGCAGACAGCCCTAACTAAGCACCTGCCTGGTCAGAAGAAGGAGCCTGCTCTTCTGTGTGGTTTCTCTCCTCCAGGATGGAGGCTCTGAGAGGATTCCTCTGGCTTGTTAATTCATTCTGTAAAGAAATGCATTTAACCCCAGCTATGTCCAGGCACCGTGGAGTCAGAAAGCATAAGCAAAAGACTTCACTTCTCAGAAGCTTGTGCTTTGACTAATCACTGAATGAGAATCAGAATGTGCTAGACAAACACAAGTTTATGTGCCTGTTACTGCACTTAGCAGTGTCATTTCCTTTAGCTCCTGGACAACTGGAAGAAGCAGCACCACTCCAGGAAGCCAGCAGTTTTCCAGGAGAGCAAGGAAGGGGCCCAGGGCACTAACTGCATCCTTTCTCTTGTTCACTCCAGGGCTTTGTCAGTGAGCAGCTGGATTTGTATCCCCCTCCCCCCACCCCCCAAACTCTGGGAGGGAAGAAAGAGG